AAAAAAAGAAATAAAAAGAATAAAAAGGACAACTTGAGGGGGCTTCGAAGATTATACGAACTCCCCGACTTTAGCGCCCCACAGCTACTTGAATCGCATGTGATAGAACGATTGCAGCGGAAGCTTGTGATACCCTCGACCTGTTGTTTATTGTCTTTTATCTTCAATCCTGCGGACGGGACCACTCTTTACCTTCAGACGCTACCAACTTAACCCCGGCACAGCTCTGCCATCTCTTTTGTTCTTTTCCGCCTTCACCACCCCAGCGGTCTTACAGTCCCTTGATTCTTTCTTTATCTCATTATTTACCTGCATATATTCTTGACCGTCTCGATCGTTTTGTACAGTGGCTCGGCCCGGTTTCCTTTTTTTGTATAAGATTGTCGTCCGTGTCTTGGTTCCCCGGCCTCATGATAAGGGTTTCCACGGGACTGTGGTCTCGTTCACGATTGATAATGATACGTCATGACATAGGATAACATTGTATGTTGTCCCAGCTTTGTACACTCCAAGTGTGAATCTTTCTGTTCTTGTACCTACCTGTTTAACTACAAAGGTATATATGTTTAGTCTTATGTGTTACATCCATGGAAGAAATTGTACAAGTAAAATGCGCAGATGCCATCATAAATCGTCGTGTTGCCCAGGATCATCTCACACATATGGGCCCAGAAGTGTCGTTGACACTGAAATAAACGCTCGGTAGAAGCTGAAAACCCAACGTAGAGTCGTGTCACCATTCATAATATCTGTTTCAGTTGGAACTATGGCTGCTTATGTTTCTGCCTTGCTGTTCTCTCCGATGCCTTGGAAGAGCTTCATTTTAACTTCAGCTGCCAGAAGACCCTTCACTTCCTCCGATACAATTCTCTGCCCATCTCGCACAACCTTTTCCAATTGTTGATCTTTGACAGTAGTGGGTGCGGTCCGTGAGGGATTGCTTTCAATGCCGCGAGCGGCCCGTCTAACTTTCTGGCTAAGATCCATCATCTGTTTGCTACCATAATCACGGGTGGTAAATAGAGGGCTCTGACTGAGGGTAGCGACCCAGTATTTGTTCCACAGAAGTGACAGAATCTCGGTATCAAGAACGCTCTTAAAAAGCGATACCTCAAGCGAATAGTAATGGGATGCGTGTGCTCCAAAGTCCTCCGCCTTGTTAAGCGGTACCGTCTGGTACTCATCATCCTCTTGCTCTTCTTTGGGTGGCGTGTAATCCTTAGGGAACGTTCTAAACGCCCCGATATCTACCTTCCCCGCCGAAATGGTCCGCTCTGGATCAATGACCACGGCAACAAACGGCCCGCCGAGCTGCTGCATATCCTGCGTGGTAACATCGATCCCTGATAACCAGCAACCATACCCGGGGTGACTGTGATACCAGCCGACTGCATTTTCCATCCGTCCCGCATCCCGACATGCCTGGAGATAAGACACCATGTATTCGTTTGCTTCATCTTGGGCGTTCACTCGAGTCTCTGTTCCTTCGACGGGGAGGCGAAATGCATCGGTTACGACAAAGGTTTCTGGCAGGATGTAGCCTTGCATTAAGCCCATGACTTCGAGCGATCCACCTGAGCGTGCGTGCATCACCATCTTCAGCAGCGCGACGGCTGAGATCCGTATCGATTTGAAATAGTGGGGGTCTTTAGCCCATGGGCGCTCCGCGCTAAGGGCTTTGTGTGTTTCTTCATCGTACTGGTAAAGGGCGTCTCGTTGGGGATCTATGAGGCTGATGGCATTTTCGAGCTCTGGAGTGGGAGAGAGGTTGTTGTTAGTAACGTATATTGTCTTTGAGAATATATCGGGGTAATGCTTAGTACGAACCCCAAGACTGCTGTGCAGCCTTCTGCATGGTGATGAATAGGTGGTAATTTTGGCAACAAAGGATGATGGGGCTGTGGGGTGAGAAGGAAGAAGGAATAGCAGTCTATAGAAAGATTTGCGGACACAGAGAAGTTAAAACAACTGGCTGACTTTGGTGACGTCTGATCTATCAGATCTGATCTACTTTAGGCAAGCAGTTGGAGTCCAGACGTGGAGCGGGCGGTGAGCTAAATCATGGCAGAACGGGGCGGTGAGGGCTGAGTGGGCTGTTGCTGGAGTAACGGAACGCCATCAACAGGGGCCGGGAGGGAATCTCGATCGCGGCTGCATCTCAAGGTAGCGGCACTATTATTATTGTTCTATCCCATCGCATCACTGCTTCGATTGATTCCCCCTCTGTTCCCCCCTCCACCCTTGCATACGCCTGCAAGTGCTCAGCTATACATAAAGCCTGCGGGTAGCCCCTTGTTCTCGCAGATGACATCCGACCTCTGAGTCAATCGTTTGCTGTTGTTGCAGATTCACGCTGGTGGATTTTGGTGTCTCACAGCTGCAGTGCTGAAGGCGCATCGCCGCCAGAGACTACATGATCACGAAACCTTAAAGACGTGAATATACTCTCGTTTTATTTCTTTTGTTAACATAAAGCGCCGGCATACACGATGGCCGTCGACACCAGCTACTTGACCACCCAGGTCAACAATATTGTCGCTCAGCTGCATGGAATCTATGATGAGATCGGCGTTCCAAGCCATGAGCGCGACTCTCGAGAGGCGGAGGTTGGCTTGCTTGACTCTTCCTTGTTTGTCAACTGATATTAACAAACAACTATAGCTTTTCAGTGCGCTATCTGATACTCTAAACAATCATCTCAAGCTTGTTGACAAGTAAGTTTTCCTGGCTTTTCAGCTTGATGGAAAGGGTTCTCGGATGTTAATGGAAGTAACAGTGAAAAAAATGAGATGACGGAGGAAGCGCGACAACTCATAATTGCAATCGAGCAAATGGAGGAGTCTTTAGAAGACGAGAAGGCCAATGGCGAGTATCAGCTGAATCGCGATGATTTGCGTATTACTTATCCCCTCAAACGCTGCCTTGCTTTCCTCCGCGAAAAGCATAATGCGCTCAGCAAATTACATCACGAGCGCTTCGAACAAGTCAAGAGTATGTTATGCTGCCGCCAATGATCGAATGGCTTGCTAACGACGTGCAGAACTCGTTGTGGCTCTCGAGTCATACTCATCTCACCTCGAATCATCTTTTGTTACCATTGCTCTCCCACCTACAGCACCGGGATCTGCGTTATCACCCAGTTTTAATTTGTCTCGCCAATACGTGGATGATTTGAACGACGAGTTTTCAAGAGTTTACGAAGAATATGAGCGACGTTTCGAGTTTGTCAAGACCATTTGCGAAGAGATCATCAAGCTCTGGGCTGAGCTTGGAACCCCTCAGGCCCAAACCGATTCCAACATCGTCAAGCACTACAAAGAGTCCCCCGAACAGTTAGGACTTCACCAATCCGACCTGGCCCATTTGAAGGCAAAGCGAGAAAAGCTGCTGGAGGAGAAGAGAAGTCGAGAGCGCAAGATTTCAGAACTCAGAAATGCCGTGGAGGCACTCTGGGAGCGCTTTGGAGTTGAGGAGTGTGATAGAAAAGCGTTCCTTTCGGCGAACCGTGGCTGTGGTCTCCGTACAATCAACGAATTTGAAGAAGAACTGGGACGCCTCAACGAACTCAAAAAACAGAACCTACATCTATTTGTCGAAGATGCGCGATGCCGACTGCAAGAGCTCTGGGATAGTCTCTACTACTCAGAGGAAGAAATGCTTGACTTCACTCCTGCCTTTTCTGATGTTTACAGTGACGCTTTGTTAGAAGCGCATGAGGCTGAAATTACCCGGCTGGAGGCATTGAAGGAACAGCGTGCTTCAGTCTTGCAACTTGTAGAGAGGCACCGTAGCCTCCTGGCAGACAAAGAGGCTCTGGCTGTGTCAAGTCAAGATGCATCTCGCCTCATGGCGCGTGGAGCCAGTGGACAAAGACGTGATCCAGGAAAGCTCTTGAGAGAGGAGAAAATGAGAAAGAGGATTGCTAAGGAGCTCCCTAAGGTGGAAGCGGATCTGCGGAAAGAATTAGAGAACTTCGAGGACGAGTATGGGCGACCGTTCCTCGTTCACGGAGAAAGATATCTCGATGAGCTCACTCCAGTCGTCGCCAAACCTCCGCCTCGCTCTAAGACGCCATCTGCCGGGCCAGGAAGTGTGCGGGGAGGATCTATGAGGCAACAGCCGCCTTCTCGCCCTGCCAGCGTGATGAGAGGACCTCTTCCCCCCCGGTCTGCTACGAAAACTCCTACTGGACATGGTTCAATGAAATACAACACCATTGGACCATCCCGAGCTCCATCTAGGGCCGGAGCAAAGTCCCCTTCGAAGATTCCCGCTCGCGTCCCCTTGAGCAACATGCCTCATGGGAGCAACTCCCCTGCGCGGAGTGGTACCCCAGGCCTCTATTCCTCTAACACAATGAACGGCAAAATTCCAACTCGTGCTCCGCCACCAAGGATGCGCGCATTGACTGGCGGAGAATCACGAGATGAGCGAAGCAGCTACTTGTTCGAGCCTCCACGAAGTGCTAGTGCACTGTCCAATGCTTTTGTCCGGCCAGTCAGCCCGGAAGACGTCTATGACGATCGTAACCAACGCTCATTTATCAGCTCTTCTGCTTTCTCACAGCGATCTACCGGATTTTCTCAATCAACACAATCCTCAGCCTCGTCCTTGTCCTTGAATTCCATGGGATACCCGCGATCGAACCCTTATCTGCAGCATGCTCCCCCGCCGGCCCCGAGACAAGTGTCAAATGCGTCAACCATCAATACCGGCAACTCTGGGTCGGAGAACTGGGAGACATTCGACAGTGGGTCTGAGTCCGAAGCTGACGCTAGTGACGTTTACTATGCCAAGCTTCGGGCTGCCCATGGCAAGCGAATGGCCCTTGACGACTTGGCAGGAAAGAAGCCGAAAGGCATCCGAAGCGTTAGCCCAGACGAGCCAGCGGTAAACCCGAATGTCGTCCGTGTAGCGGGGAGTGATGCTGGATGGACAGATGATCTGGAGCCTTACTAGAAAAGAAGCAAAGTAGGGTTCCATTGCTCAACTAAATCGTTTTGGCTTTTCTTTTCTTCAAACCTCAGGCACTTCCGGAAACACGGACTTACGAGACCACTCGATGTTGACGATTCTATGATTGCTCTCGCAATGTTTAATTTTACCTTAACCAGGCTGCGGACGCTGTATAATGGTTGAGCTCTCTGGTGATTGGACGGGCTGGGCGATCCGAGTGAGGTTGCTCTGTCGCCGACGTTAATTTCTGTGTTAAAAATTTTGGGATTATACCCTGGTTATGTTTTCGCTTTTTCTCTTATGGTGATCTTTGCTCTTGAGCCCGCGAAGTCTATTGGCAACTGCAGCAACGATGGGGATGACAACGAACGAAATGAGCCGATGCTTTTTCTATTACCATCTAACTGTTCAAAGAGACGGGCTACCTTCTTGTATTATGCTTGGTTTGTACGTTTGATAATTAACTCATTTTCTACCGAAAAAAGTAGACGTGGCTAGCCATTGACTGGACGAGTCCCTTTACTACTTTTGCTTAATTCGCCATCACGTTTGGTTCTTCTGTTGTACTCTTCTTCAATCTTGTTTGGTGAGGCCATCTCGTGTTTTTTCTTATAGCTTTTGTTCTACGAGTCATACATTTTGTTTTCCGTTTGTTTTGATATCAGCGCAGCGCAATGGTTTGTTGGATCTCTTATGTTAATTAACAATACAATCTATTTTTTGAAATGATCTTGTTCGTAGTGGGCATATCGCTCTCTCCAAGTAATCTTATATCTGCAGTTACAGGTAACCCCTCTCGCATTATCCTCTTTCATTTTTCGTCCCTTGGGACTGGCTGCTCCCGTGCATAGGCAACCTTGCAGAGCAATAAGTACAAGATATATAGTGCATGAGAACTGGAAACCTTACACCCGCGAGAAAGCCTTGGTTATGTTGGAAATATGTCGCTATTCATGCTCCTGTCCTTCTAGTTTTAGTGGTAAGAGGTGGGGAGGACAAACAGGATGTTTGAAGAAAGCTACGGGGTCACGAGACAGCCATCCCTCATTCACTGACAATCTTGCCAATTGCCAGGATTGGAAGAATTATCGCCAGGGTATCGAGGAAAACGAGGGCCGTCATTAGCGCGAAGTACACAAGAAACCTTTCATGCGCCCATATGCCGCAACATGGGAGAACGAGAAGGAAGTACTAGTCCCTACTAGTATTGCCCTTAAGGGCCGAATGTTCAATGGGCATCAGCCATGCATTAAAAGTGCCTTTCAATTTATGGTAACTTTGGATAATATAATAATTTGAGTCCGCAAATTAACATGTAATGGGGTGATAGCTCAGTTGGGAGAGCGCACGACTGAAGTGTCAACTCAGTCACCACCTGGTAATCGTGAGGTCGCTGGTTCGATCCCGGCTCGCCCCATTTCTTTTTGCTTTTTTCCTTCCCTCTCCAATTGCTCTGTACCCACCTTTATCTCTAATCTATGCTGATAATGAGGACCACGTTGGTACGGAGCCCTCCCTCTTCCAGTCCGAGTGCATCGGACCAAAGATCCTTACTGTCTACCTCTGAGTCAGGATATCCACCCATTGCTGTTTCAATGCCGGAGTGAAGCTGTAACGCAAACGAAAGTCTCCGCCGACGCTTTGACGCTAATCTGGCAGTTAGGGCACGGGAGATGAGAGTCCAATCATGCAACTCCCGCTAGACTGACCTAGCTAAAAGGCCACTGGAGTGGGTCACTTACGATGCCCTCCCTTAATTTCGCAGCTTCAACGCTCATTTGTAACCTTCCAGATAAGCATCGTGATAGGATACGGGGGAATGAGGGACTCCATCCACCGCTACCAGTCAGTCCATGAGGGCTATGAGGACCAGGCTGTCCACGTTCCTCCCATGCGTTGTCCAATGGAGGGGCCGAGGGACCTCTTTGTGACAGTCTGGGCTCAAGCGCCCCGGCGCTTGATCAACGGGCACAGCATCGGCCTGAGACTGTCGTTGGTTTGTTTGAGAAGATCTCGTTTCGTCCAATCTACTGGAAATTAAATTGCGACACTTAGCCAACCCGTGTCTGATTAGATCGATCCATAACTCTGCGACAATCTCCACTGCGTCCAAACCCTCTTCATCCTTGAACCCTCCTTTTCCTTTTATCATGGACTGACTGGCTCTTTTCTTTCTTTCGTGTGCTGTTTCACCATTCAGGGCCTTCTGGAAGGCTGTCCGTTCCTTTTATTATTGTTATTATTACCTTCGTTTCCGATGCTGAGATAGAGTCTCATGTCAGCTTACCTTCACACACTATCACTCGTTTAGTTTCTTTATCTGAATTCAATTCTTTGTCTGGATCCATCAGCTCTCACTATCATTAAAATTCAGCATCGCTGAGCCGCAAAATCGCGCAAATGGCCAGGGGTCTCTTTCTGGGGAAACCCCGTGCCCCACGGGAAACAGACATTTCCAATCCCATCTTTAAGCATACAGACGCAGCACCACGAAATGACCTCAAGGCCTTGAAAAATGGTAGCACAACACACCATCGGCCGATCAAGCAGGCCCATTACGACACCCAGCGGCCCCGGACATCAGTCGCATGTCAACAGGACAGCAGGGTAGAGGTACCCGGGCCTGGGTTCGATTTTCGCATAGCGGTGCCTGCAGCTGAAGCGATAAAATCGCCGACAAACAGCGAAAATGGCTCGGAAGAAAACATGATCGGGATCGCTCTAGGTAGTCCCCGTTTGGTGGATCCACAGAACACCTTTTCCCAGATGCAAGAGAAAGCGCTGGAATCTGCGCGCGAACGCCCCAAAGCAGCCCCGCAGATCCAGCGCAAGCCGAGCAAGTGGAGGAAAATCGGCGGCTTGTTCAAGGCGAAGAATGCTGTTGCGTCGGGTGCAAGTCAGCCTTTTTACCAGGTCCAGGTTCAGGGTAGTCAGGCGCCTCTTGCGCAGGGCTCTTCGCATTCCATCGACTATCAGAATCGCGAGGCGAAATCTAACCATGTCATGAATACAGAGGCATGGCCGTGTCTTGAGCCGGAGGTCAAGGCCGAAGAGAAGCAGCAAAATATCAGTGTCGCACAGGTGCAAGCTCAGGATGGACAACAGCCTGCGGAGTCGAAATCGGGACCTCTACTGCAGGTCGACATCCCCAGTGTTGAGATGGAACGATACAGCGTCATGTTCAGCGCTCTACTCAAGCAAAACGAGCCTTCCCCGTTGAACAGACGCAGCAGAACCCTGGAAAATATGAGCGCTCCCAACGCCGAGGTAAATCATTCAACATCCCCTGCGATATACGTCACCTACCAAATACTAAACCCACACCAGGCATCACCGCCATCGCCAGATCTGCCCCCACCCCGACGAAGGGCCACCTCGCCTACACGCTCAAACTCCCCCAGACTCTCACTATTCCCAGCAACACACAAGAGCAAAGCTTCCAAGGTGCTAGGCACACAAAGCCTCCCCCGGGGCCCCAGTCCCTTGCTCCGAAACCAAGTATCCAGAGCAGAGTCACGACAGGAAGACTTGTCCAATGAACAAGATCACATTCTCCTCATGGTTCGCAGCGACGCAAGAAGCTTCCATAAGCCCCAAGACTCAGTATCCTCATTCATCTCAAGCACAACCATCAACTCAGACGACGAAAAATTCCTCCTGCAAAAGCTCAAGCCAGTCCAAACCTACGTCGACCCCAAAGGCGAGCCAGAATGGGAGATCATCAACAAGCGGAAACAATCCGCAGACGAAATAAAATCGCAGAAGTCAACCCCAGCGCTCTCGCTCAATACGCAAGAACTACAGCCCGAGCCAGCGAACAGTGAGTCGACGGCATCGTCTCCGATCCTCTCACCTCTTGCCGCCGTCCAACAAAGATTCTCTCCGTTATCTCCGTCGGATAGTAATAAATCTGCTGTCTCACCAGCAGAGACCATCCGCATGCCTCTCGCCAACGAAACCAAGACCGAAGAAGGCGACAAGACGACGGATGAACATGAGCCCGCAGATCCCAGCCCGCAAGAGGAACCGGAGTCAGAAGCCGAACAGGAACACGACGAACAAGAACCAGAGCCGGCCGATCCCCTCCCGACCATCGAGATCTCCATCGCAAGATCTGTCTCCGTCTCAAAGAGAAAGCAAGTCTTGGTCCCTGTGGGACGGCGGCCAGACCGTCTCCCCCCCCGGGCTAGAACCCCCCAAATGGTGAATGGGCAGCATGGTCATCGACATGGCAATTCTCAGGATGCTCGTATTGAAAGTGTATGATGTGCTTAGGTTTGATACTTGCTGCTTTCCTCTCTCTTGGAGATCCTGTCGCATCTGGCGCCGGAGTAGCGACTGATTTTGGCCTTCCCATTTTCACGACCTTTTTGTTCTATATCTCTCTGCCTTGGAAACTAGCATTGGGACTGATGGGGTTTGTTTTTCTTTTCTTTTCCCTTCCGGTTTACACTGGGCATATTCGTTGTGTCATTGACGGCGATTTGTGTTTCCATCCATTCCTTTGAACAGAACTTCACGTTCGGTCTTTCTTTTCTCACTTCATGACTTCTTTTTTTTTTTTTTATTTTTGGCGGCGCCGAAAGCGAAAGCCGGATCTTCTTTTGCATTTCTTCTCATGAGAGCTTGGATTATCTTTAAAAGGACAGGAGTAGTGGTCGATGATTAGGTGTTCTACATTTTTCTCTTCGGTTAGGTTCATCCATTCCGTGCATTTTATATACTCCCATTTGTTCATGTATTTTGGCTTAGATCATCCAATTGAATTGTTTCAAAGACTTCTGTTTAAATCTCTATTTCTATGTATAGAAAACCATTCAACTCTTCTCTGGGTAATTGGCCGACTCTGCGACGACCTGTTTTTCAGGACCCATATCCACTTCCACGGTTGGTAGCGTCCATTCCATGCCAGGATACGAATCGCTGATGACCTTGACCTTGATGCCATTCTTAGCTGCCGTATCTGGGAATTTGACAGACGACCGGATTGTGAGAGGAGGTCCACCTCTATGATTGTTTTTCTCTCCGGGCTTGCTCGATCCGGCGTTATTGTTGCCGCGGTTGTTGCGCTGCTTCTCGACAGGGGGCCAGGAGATTCTCTTTAGAGCAAGTAGTTCTCCATCTTTACCGTCTGAGGCTGCGCTGCAGACGATCAAGAAGAAACCTTCTGTTTGTGGCTTTGGGAATCGAGGTGCGTAGATTCTGTATCCCGAGTCCATTGCGGGGTTGCGTCTGGTCAAGGATACACTGATACCAGTTGACGAGACCTTGGAGACTGATACCGACAGATTCGGCAGATAGGAGGCAGCTTTGGTAAATTGGGCGGCCTGGGAAGGAGGAAGCTGTAGTTTCTTGGAGAGGGTTGACACTGCACCCGTAGGTAGAGATGAGAGCGCAGCGAGGGAACCCGGGAGGAAGGGTGCTTTGGCGCTAACACCAACGCCTGGAAGAATCGACAGTGGGATATCTTCAGGCCACCTAGCTGACTTAATGCATTGAAGCAGAGACATGAGCATTTGACAAGCATGCAGGTAGCCTAATTCGGCCATGACATCGATCGAGGCTTGCAGAATACGGATGCCCTGATCTAAAACAGAGGTCTGATCTCCGACATAATCGGAAATCGGAAGATCAATTCGCGACATGTAGGCTTGAAGCAATAAGAACGCTTTCACGTGGGGATCCCACATTGGTAGGTCTCCCATCGATTCAACAGATAGCGGTAGGTTCTGAGCCAACTCTGCGTTAATGAGATCTTCATTATGTCGAACAGGTAACTCATCAAATTCTGTCGCGGAACACATCCAGCTCAAGACATCATGGAATGTAGGATTCGGCTTTGCATGTGCCATGAGGTACCGAATTGTCTTGTGTGACAAATAGTAGTAGCTCATAACCTTGCCAAATGGTGTCGGGTCGACTTCACCTGTGGCGGAATCAAGCAAAACACATGATGACGTTGCTAACTCGCCGAGTGACTTATCGACCAAGTCAATCATGAAATCTTGGGCGATAGTCTGAGCGGCGATAGTATTGTGCTCCTCGGCCGAGATCTCCAAGCCATAGTACGAAGGGTTCTTATGCAGTCTCCGGAAGAAAAACGTCCACGTCAGGTAATCCAGTGCATCCTGTTTTGTTGTAATTGTTCCTGCAGAAACTTCGGCTCCCAAGTGGTTATCGAGGACTTTGTGCAAAGTGGATTCTACTGGGAAACCAGTGTGTAAGAAATGCTTGTAAAAGGCCTTCTTTGAGTCTTGAGTGAAAATTCGAGCAATACCAGACGAGTCGAACTGCGGACGACCTGCACGACCCAGCATTTGCAGAACGTCAGTCAAGTCCATGTCCCTATAACCCTCAATCTTTGCATCAAAGAACTGGGTTCCTTTGACAACCACAAGGTGTGCTGGAAGGTTAACACCCCATGCCAGAGTACTAGTCGCGACAAGAATTTGTATCTTGTTGTTTGCGAAAAGCTCCTCGGCTAGCTGACGATCAGATTCCACCAAACCAGCATGGTGCAGACCGATGCCGAAGCTGAGCGCCTCACGCAAGGCATCGTCCTTGACTCGCGTGAGATTCAACTCTAAATCATCCTCCGACATGCGAACAAATCGACGAGGATTATCTTCCATTCCGCAATAATTGATCAGATCCTTGGCAGTTAGACGAGTCTGCCTACGGGAAGCGACGAAAACAATCACGGGCTTTTCTGGAGAGTGGTTTTTGATAGCCAGAAAAGTTGGTCGGTTCATAGACTGCATGAGTGGACAGAATCCACGTTGCTCAGGGAAGCCATCAATGTAAATCTCGAGAGGCACAGGACGCACAGAGTGCCGGAAGTTGTATAGCCCTTCTTTCACACCCAGCCAATTCGCCAAATCGGTGGCATTTGCACAAGCAGTGGACATACCCATCAGCCGAACGGATCCCTTAGACTGTGAAGCAATGTAATTCATTCGAGATACAATGATCTCAAGAATAGGTCCTCGGTCACCGCCTAGCAAGTGGATTTCATCAATGATCACCAAGCTGACCTTGCGAACGTAATCTCTGGTCTGCCAACTACGAGAGATACCGTCCCATTTCTCAGGTGTTGTGATAATGATGTCTGCATCTCGAATGGTTCGCGTGTCCGGAGTATTATCACCAGTCAACTCGACCAACTTCAGGCCCATAGGCCCTGTGAGGCGCTTTTTCCAGTCGTGGACTCGCTCGCGGACAAGTGCTTTCATCGGTGCGATGTACACAACCTTCGACCCAGGCTTTTCCCTAAACGCCCACCACATAGCTAGCTCTGCAGCCACAGTCTTTCCACTTCCGGTAGGGGAACCTAGGAGGACGTTGGCAGAAGTGTGATAAAGAAGGTGGAAAATCTGTGTTTGCATCGGGTTAAAGAACTGGAATCGCTGTCCATAGAGTTCCTCGAGAATGGGGTTTTTGAGAGCAGAAATAGGCAGTGGTTGGAGATTTAGAAGGTCTGTATAAACGCTTTCTGTGTCGGGACGAATAAGATGTTGGAATGAGACTGGAGTTACCGTTTCCGCACCTAACCATCGATCTGATATCGCACGGACGTAAATTTGACTTGGTAATGGGTCCGAAAGTGGGATGGTAAAGTTGAGCTCGTGCTCGTCATGAAGTTTCTTTCGGCTCAGGATGAAATACTCATGGTGGTAGATCTCGGAGGTTTCCGAGTTCTCTACCCAGACCCAGTACGACTCTGAAGCGCCATGATGCCTGTCATTCCAAGTATACTCGGGATAGAGGCATAGGCGGATGCGCAGGACGTCGCGGTTGAGAGGTGCGATTTCAGCCTCCACGCTGAGGGTAGGGAAATTGTCTAATAATTTTGCTAGAGTCTTGCCCATTTTCTGGTTGTGAACCAGCTGTCCGATCTCTGCAACATCCATGTCTCTCATCGATTCTATAGAGGAACTGGGCAGCCTCTCATCCAGATTTCTGAGGACAGGCTGGGGAAGATCAAACTGATGGAATGGGTGATCGAAAGGCCAGATCTGCTTCTCAATGGACTTGCACATCGACAGCAGAACTTGGCATTGGTAACCCCAACGTCGGTTCAATGCAATCATGAATAGAGCGCGGCATATACGAGCTGCATTTTGTGCAACATAGCCGGTGTCCGATACCAATGCGAAATCTTCAACCTTAGCACGAGAGATATAGGACTGTAGCAGAATATTGGTTTTTGCATGAGGAGAATCATTTCCACCCTCTATTTCTGTCTGAACGGCTTCTTCCCGTAGCCTGTCCAGCTCCTTTGACTCGTTTTCTCTCGATTGGATATTGTCGAATTCACCACTCATGCTGATCATTTTCAGCACGTCTGCTTCTCCTGCTTCGGCACGCATTAATTCGTTGAAAATTTCGATGCTGTTCTGCAGAACGTAGTACTGGCTTGCAATGCGGCCAACATCCTTCGCTCGAAGCTCCTCTGTCCGTTCGTTGAAGATGATCATTTGACTTTTTTGCAATACGAGGGCAGCCTGAATGATCAATTGGCGACGCCTTTGGACCAACATGGGATCGTCACGTATCTCAGCCCATTCAATGCCATAATTCCTAGGCTCACGCTTCATGCGCACAAAGAGGTACGAATATCCTAGCCACTGCACTGCTTCTGGGACGGAGGTGACCGTGCCAAGAGAAATCTCGGCATTTAGATTGTCTACAAGTCGGCTAGAGAAACGAGACTCAATCGGCTGCTGAGAAGTCACTGCAGAGAGATAGTGGTGCAGCTTATCATGTGTGGTACAAATGAAGCCGATACCCGTGTCTTGGAACTGGGGACGACCAGCACGACCAAAAATCTGAAGGACATCGAGAATGCCAAGGTCGACGAACTTTCCCTCCTGGGGATTGTATAATTGTGTGCCTTTAATAACAACCGCAGCGGCAGGAAGGTTGACACCCCATGCCAGTGTGGCGGTACAGCAAAGAACTTTAATCAGACCTTCAGAGAACATACGTTCCATCAAATTGCGGTCGCTCCGGCTCATTCCAGCATGATGGGTTCCAAAACCACTGGCAAACAGGTCCCGCAATTCACGAGCACGAGCATGTTTCATATCCCTAAGCCCATTTGAGTAATTTTCGTGATCTTGGCAGCTGAAGAGATTCTCACAGCCCTCATCAGCAGCCATTTGTTTCAACATTCGAGCAGTTAAGACAGTATCTTTCCGCGAATGCACGAAGACCATGACCTGATGTCCTCTTTCAAGCATATCGCGCACTTTCTCGTAAGATACAACATCGATGTTTTCTCGAGACTGTTTGGAGCCAGGCTTTCCTTTAACGCCAATGAAGTGTTGCTCAAGAGGAACAGGTCGGAACGAACTGTCAAAGTAGAATAGACCAGCCATCTTATTCACCTTGAGGAAATCGGCGACATCAAGATAGTTGGGCAGAGTGGCAGAAAGACCAACGATACGGATGAGTGATTGCGTACTCTCGACCTGACGTTGCGTACGGGCGACCAAAGATTCGATAACGGCACCACGCTCGTCGTGGAGCATATGAACTTCATCGATGATCAGCAACCGTACTTTCTGTACAAGCTCAGTGTCTCCAGTGCTCTTCCGCGTTACCACGTCCCATTTCTCAGGGGTGGTAACAATGATTTGTGTTTCTACGATCTCGCGCTTTGTCAGTTGCATGTCACCAGTCAGTTCACGGACCTGGATACCGAGCCAGGCTAATCGCTTCCCAAGCTTCTCAGTGACTTCAGCAGCCAGCGCCTTCATCGGAGCCACATAAACAATCTTAAAGTCATCCACCAGAACGGCAAACTCTGTTGCCTCCGGTTGTTCAACAGGATTTGGAATAGTATTCTTCCCAATGGCATTGAGAATCGTCAGCATCGCGGCGTCCGTCTTACCGGCACCAGTTGGAGCACAAATAAGCATATTTTCGCTTGTTTTGTAAGCAACTTCATACAGCAAACTTTGCATTCTGTTCAGTGATTTGTAGCCTTTGAAGGTGCCTTGACATAGGCCATCCAATGAAGATATCTGCACCAGCTTTTGCGTGGCTCCCAAAGTGCCTACCCTAGATGCTGGAACCTCCACTTCGGTATATTTCTGCTCATCTATCTGTTTGCTCCCAAGAGGCAGACCATATTTCTTTCCACTAAACGAAAGTACGTTCCTATTGTCATGCGACTTAAAAACATGGGGATACTGTGGCTCCTGTCTCGTTTGCGCCGGCATTAATGGTGCATTCTTGTGTTCGAAGTCCTGCTGTCGCAGAGCCTGTTCCCGTTCTGCCCTTGTCTGCAACCTTCCTGAGAAAAGACCGTCTGTTTGCGCCTCTGGGCCAGTGTGAACGCTCCTGAGGATTTCCGTCCGGTGTGCGATCAACTCAATCACGAAGTCCAGGTCATCGAACCCAACGATCTCAGCCAGGGACATCTGCAGTTCGTCGTCTCCGCTGTCGGTCGCTAGCGCAGCTGTGATCTGTTGGGCTAGCTCATTGGCACTCAGTCCGGGCTTCTGAGATGTTAGGCTCTGGCATTTCTGCTCTAGCCAAAACTGGTCATAAGATGACGCCGAGGGAGAAGCAAAATCATCGAGCTCCTCGAAATCAGCACTAGACTCATCGTCGGAGCTGATGACATCCCAAATATCGTCGACGGTACCGGGCGAAGAATAGTCCTCGTCAAGATCTAGATCCAAGTCACTGCCATAGCCAAGCTGGTCTGTAGCGGGGTCTTTCGGAAGCTTTAGCTCTGCGATGGCCTGCCGCATGGCAGCCAGTTGCGTAAGCCACCGCGACTCAACAGAGTCAGATCCATCCATAATGAGAGACTATGCACAAGAATAATACTGTACAATATGAGACAGGCAATAGGGATAAAGCAGCAACTAAAAGACGGGGAGTTGGGATGAGATGGAGAGGTTGGATTTAAGCGGGCAGAACAAAAGACCGCCTAACCGATATGATTAGCGGTAGATAGGACCAGAATATGCACTATTCCTAATACGGAATATAAAGATCAATCTCCAGGGCTGACGTAATCGGCCATATACTAGTTAGTTAACTATCAGAAAAATACAGCGTTTTCTATGAATTTATCATGGTGAAGTTTCTTAGGACGGTGGGAAAGAAAATGGAGCAGTAGTACGTACGCGTTGTTGACCATGGATGTAAACGACTACTTGCGTTGGTGGCGTTCCGGCCACTGCTGAGATGATACATGACAGAATATCACTACCGCATTGGAGTTAAGAATGTAGGTCTCTAAGGGTAAACACGATTTGATACTTATTCTGTGATAGGATGAGAATTTCTTAATGTGACATCTCAGTGACTTCGATTGATAAGCACCAATAAGACCCTGACGACAAAGTCAACCCAGTCAGATGACTGCTTCGGAAAGTCACCAGATAGTACGCTGTATAATTTCAAATATAGCGGAGCAAGACTAGTAGTTACCTAGGTTCAAGTTGGATGAGGTGTTGTATATACTACACAGTGCTCCGTACCTCGGATGCCGTTTCCCCGCAGATGCCCAGCTTGAATGAAGCATGTGGCTTTATAAGCTGTGGAATATTGCAAGAAAGGAACACATGTATACTCAAGAATATATCCACATCATTACACAAAGCTTAATATCTAACCACAAAGTGCTGGCATTGGTGGTGAGAATGCCAACGAACTTGAAGTTAGCCTGGTCTCATGGAGGTGACGAAGCCTCCGATTGGCTGAACTGTGGACAACGTCAGTGACCTCCGCAGGACAATTTCTCCACCCTCAGGCAAGCCGCCAAGCAGCCCTGAGTCGAGGATAAAGACTACCTTTGGGTCTCCCTCGGCCTACACTTGCCTTCTGCACCCTAAATCCTCCTCAACAATGACCTCCCCCTACCATCGCCGTCCTATACCAGATTACTTCCTCGCCTCCCCACTTGCCGCTTTCCTCTATCCTCTCCACCACATTCTCCTCAGACTCCGCGGACCACCTCGATTACCTCCACCAGACGCCCACCCGATCCGAGTAGTCTGTATCTCCGACACCCACACCCTCGAGTGGGACGATGTGCCAGACGGTGATCTTTTAATTCACGCCGGCGATCTATGCAATGATGGCAGCGTGCGCGAGATCCAAGCAGCGGTAGACTGGCTCCAAGGACTACCACATCCCCACAAGGTAGTCATTTGCGGCAATCACGACAGCTACTTTGACGTACGGTCACGACTGGAAGAAGACCGGGATAAATCTTTCGCAACGGTCTCCTCCTCTACAGCTTCTCTCCGCTCCATCGATGACCTCGAAAGTCCCACCGTATCGACTGGGGCGACATCCACTACCTCCAACACTCCGCTGTCACCATCTCCTTCCCCACACCTTCATCCACCGGCTCTCGAGCCCGCTCTCTCACCATCTACGGCGCCCCTCAAATCCCCGCCCTTGTACCCTTCGGCCCCGAACATGCCTTTACCTATCCACCCCACTACGACGCCTGGTCAGGCACCGTACCTCTAAAGACCGACATCCTCGTCACTCACACCCCACCACAATCCCATCTCGACCTCTCCCCCGTCTACTCCACCGGCTGCCCATTCCTCCTCACAGAAGCATGGCGCGTCAAGCCCGCCCTCCACGTATTTGGGCACATCCACGCCGCTTACGGCATGGAGCCAGTCTATTGGGACGAGGCGCAGAAAGCGTGGGAACGACTCTGTGCGTCGCGGCGACGACGGGCCCGTAATGGCCGGTTCAGCTCGCTCTTTGGCTTCCTCCGAGACCTATTCGATATTTCCGGATGGGTTGACTCGGCCCGGGTCGTGGTTTATGGTGTTTTGGGAGTGGTGTGGGCTAAGGTTTGGGGTGGTGAAAATCGCGGCTGCGGATGGATGGTGAATGCAGCTTGCATGTCTCGTGATTCGAAAGGATTGTCAAATAAGCCGCAGGTCGTAGTTTTATAAGACAGACAGAGTCATGTCAGTCTAGATTTTGGGATTTGTAAATAGCCTGGGGAGGTAATGATTGACGTGTGCATGTATATAGGGTGGTTTGGTGCGCTATGCTTTGTGTTTTAGCGGCGTTACCTCTTATAATTATTCTTAATTCCTGTATGGGACTATTTGAAAGCAGATAATAAAAGTTATTCAAATTTGGGATGTATTCTTTGTGTTTCTATTTGTAACCCAGACATCACGTCTATATGTCTGGTAGTGTATAACGTCTTTTCACTAAATGTACAGGAATCGCCATCATATATCGTCGGTCCAAGTCTGACGATGGGGTATATACAATCGGCTAAGTGGCGAATCTATCAACCAACGACCGTCAACAACATAACAAACTTCGTGAGAAGGACATGTAAAAGGAGAGGAGGCCAAGAAACCCAGAGGCGCAAAGATGAAGAGAATCTTCCACCACTACAGCTTAGCCTTCTCGCTAAACCGAGGAGCCTGGAGAGGATCGTAGGCACGGAGGGTCAAGGTGTCCGAGGGAACAGAAGCATGGTGACCGCTGCTCAGGCCACGCACATCGATCAGGCTGGGGTTGAGGTCTGAGATCTTGGTGGTTCCAATCAAACGCATGTTCATTTCCATCTCGTCCTTGAGAAGTTGCATCGCGCGGTCCACACCGGCCTGGCCGTACGTGGACATGGCGTACAGGAATGGCCGTCCGATACCTACACCACGGGCGCCCAGACATAGGGCCTTCAGGATATCCGTGGATCGACGGACACCGCCGTCAATGAAGATCTCGATCTTGTTCTCCCAGCCGCGCTCCCGGAGGATGGGCATGACATCTGCGAGGACTTCGATGCCGGAGGGTGCGGTGTCCAGCTGGCGACCGCCGTGGTTGGAGAGGACGACACCGTCCAGGCCCATCTCGGCGGCACGGAGGACATCTTCGACGCGCTGGACGCCCTTCAGGACGATGGGCATTTTTGTGATGGACTGGAACCAGGGGATGTCCTTCCAGGAAAGCGAGGGGTCGATGAACGACGAGATGGCTCTGGCGGCACCCTGGGAGCGATCAACGGCATCGCCTCCGCTGGCTTGGACGTTGGAGCCCGCGTCGGAGAACTTGGAACGCATGTCCTTCTCACGACGGCCGAGTTGAGGGGCATCTACGGTGATGAATAGACCCTTGCAGCCGCGGGCTTCAGCATGTTGGACAATGCGCTTGGTGATTTCGCGGTCCTTGTTCACGTAAAGCTGCAGCCATTGTACCTGGTCACCCTTCTTGGCGTCGACGATCTCGTCAAAGGAGCAGGAAGCTAATGTGGGGATCATCTGGATGACATCGTGGTCGTGGGCGGCGCGAGTGAGCACCACTTCACCCTCAGGGTTACCCAGCTTTCCGAGGGCAGTGGCGGTCACGTAGAAGGGAATCGATGTCTTCGTTCCGAGCATGGTCGTGGAGAAGTCGACATTCTCCACGTCAACGAGAATCTGAGGACGGAACCAGATCTTGTGGAAGGCAGAGTGGTTTTCACGCATCGTCTAGAGCGGTCGAATTAGCATGTTGGCATACTGAGATCCGTAATGTCACCACCTACAATTTCATCATCGGCACCACTAGAGTAGTATGCCCATGCGGTCTTCTTCATCACATCCCGTGCGACGGCCTCAAAGTCCATCAGGTTGTAGCATGCTTGCAGCGGGGGCATCCGCTTAATTCGCTCTTGCCGCTCTGTTTCTTCGGGGTCGGCAACTTTCTCTTCTTGTTCAACGGTGCTCATATCGACCTCGCCCAGGTGCTTCGAGCCATCGAGGTATTTGTCTAGAGTGTCTGGGGGATGAATGGGCTCGAATTCCTCGGTCGCATCCTTGCCTGCGTACTTCAGGATGATCTTCTGGCCTCCGGGATGTTCTGTTGCCGCCGTTAGATCTCTCTAAGCCTGATGGTCCGCGATGTACTATACCTGGTAAGAATTCGGTCACATCGTACGCCTTTCCATGGACAATGACCCAGCAAGAGTCGCGGGAGTTGTGCTGGGCGACATCGGCGCCGGTGAGCTTGCCTTTGCTCATCTTGGAAGGGAAATGAAAGAAGAGAAGTGGTAGGAAGTGTTTCCGTGGCAAGACGAACTGATCGAAGGGTAGAAGAGAAACCGGAGGTTTCAAGGAAGTTATATATGTGTGCGAGATAGTAAAAGTCTTGTCCCAGAAATTCAAGAGACGAGGTTACAAGTTGGGCTTAGGCTGACCGCATGAATGGACCTCGGGATAATGGACAGCGAATTGAAATGGGGCTCGCAGCAATCGGGGGGCACTCGTTGGTCGGATAAACGATAACGAACGGTGCTCCATTGTGCTGAACCGCAAAGCCTGGGGAACCATTGCGGGGATCCGATTCGGGCGACCGCGTTTCTCGGCCGACTTTGTTGCGGAACTTGCGGGAGCTGCCAGGTTCCAGTGAGGTCGGTTGGTGCGGAGTCTACTTTCATGGCAGAACAACCACCTACAATTTTCCCATGAACATTTCACGGCGACACAAGGAGTGCCCCCTTAAGCCCCTTTAAATTCTCTGGATATCCATTTCTCTACATCGGATATGATCTGGGAATGAATATTGTCGGACATCCCCGACAATTGATCTACGTATATCAACTCACGATCCCCATGAGGTGAACCATATCTGAACTCGCTTTGACAGCTCTCCATGGATTCTTATGGACTTGCTCGATCGGGGACCTCAAAACAGACAGCGGAGAGTCCGATTTGCACATCAAGTATGTAGGTGGCAACACATCAGATGAACATTTTTCTTCCCTTCTGTTCCCCTTGCATATGCAGTCTGGATTGAAATGTTTAATTAAAAGTATCGAGTTAATACAACCTCAGACATTATTGGGCCGAGACCTTCAGAAAATGAATTGAATCTGAGACTCATGTAACAAGCCAAGCAAGGGGCGCGATGTTGTGACACACGCTTTCCAGAACAAATGGAACAAGGGCTGGACGATCAGAATAAACATGCAGAGACATTCTGCATAGCATATGTTTCCAAATATGGAATGCTGAATGCGTCTCAGCTCAATGAAAGAAGAATATAGAAACATTGCCGAGTAAATTGCAAACCATGCAAACTAAGCTAGGGACGAAAGCCAGAACTTTCAGGCGGCAAGGCATCAATTATTTTGGGTCTCGATGCGTGAAGCTGATCTGGGACGTAAGGCCGACGATCTTCAATCATATATTATCAATGCGCAGATATCTGATGGCCGTAGCGCTTTCCCGCAAGCCTTCGAAATGGGAAATTTCTTTGTTGATACAGTACCCGTCACGCTCCATAGTTGCTAGTAGGTAAATACAGTGAAATGAGCAGCCTCGGAAGCAGGAAGCCTTTGCTTCGAAAAGCGCATGCATGAGTACCGATGTGATGATCAAGTCTACTAATATATATCTGGTATTCAGATGGTTTCTTGTAATGTGATTTGACCGGGAATGCGCCATCGATAACTTCCATTTTGAACTCAAGTGCAATAGAGGCCTGTATGCTTTTGCAGAATATGATATTGATTCAATCTGATAATCTCGCACCTAGGAAGAAGCCATGAGATAATAGACGAACTGAGACACCCAGCTCTGCTTTTGACGGCACCAATAGAGCTCAAGTAGAGATATGACTATCGCACTGAAGATACGCAACGTGAGGGGGATTGTAGTTTCAACTTTGAAGAAATTCTGAAACCAATCTCTTTCCCCCTTTATTGTAATGTGCATCATTCTATATTCCTAGCAGGGCTGATGATTTCATTGCAATCTCCTATACTGCATACGCCTTGTTTTACGAAACATGCGTCCAATGAGAAGGTGTTCACCTGACCTTTCAGATCTCCCACGTCACTGCATGAGTTAATTGTTCTGAAGCATCTAGACTAGTCTCAGGTTTTAATAAGATCTCTGTGGAATCTTGCCCCTGAGACGCGTCCGTGATTCTATTCTCTTCTCTTCCTCGTGACTACTTCCGGGCCCTCCGGCATACACCGAGCCCTATCGGCACCGGCGTGCCGAGTCTGCTGTACTTAAGCCATCGGCTTCCCGACCTGTTTCCTCCTGTGTATCCGGCTCTGGAATTTTGGTATAACACTGGTCTACACACTTTGCATTTTACTGGCAGGCTTCTCTACATCACAGCACTTCCACATCTGATCATGTCGGAAGCTCATCACATATTCCTATTACTTAATATTGAGTACCATTAACACTTGGCACTCAACACATACTAACACGATGACTAGCTTCATTCTCATTCGCAAATTCGTTCCACCACTTCAAACCAACCAATCGTTTCGGTATTCGATGTGTGCTTGCAGATTTTTCTTTTCCATCTTTCCGACGTTACTGTCCCATCGGAGCTTCGCCGGCTAGCCAAGACCTCTCTGCCCGGCAGGCGGGCCGGTTACCTCAAACAGTTTGATCCCGAAGCTTACGCCCAAAGCTGACCGAGAAAAATCGGCACCGGCCCGCTGTCTCTACAACTCGGGATGGGTCTCTGAAGGTGTCCGAAGTTTTGCCTGGACACCGAGACCAATGCAATATGGTGGGTTTTGGCGTAGAAGAAGATGACAGACTGCATGCAGTGATGCACCGTACTACCGATGGGGAATGGTGTCAGATTTAGCCCTCTGAAGCTCAGACAGGCATCAGATTTTTCGACGCTATAGCGGCTATACACGGGCATACAGCCCCTGATATACGATATATCGATGGACGGGCAAGTGATAGCTGCGACGTCATTCTACAGACTGATCTTCTGATCTCTCTGCGGGAGGCGCCGCACGTGTGGTCGTCATCGATAGCTGTCACAGCGTACAGAGTAGATACTCAGATCGGACTATCACCGTTCGTTTGCCAGATAACATCATCTTGCAGGTGTCCGACCGGGGTGTGAGCCCTTTTTCGGAGAACGAGCGAGCCTCGTCTCGCGGTGGGCATGAAGTGTGAACAATCGCCGGTGCGACTATCGCGACTGTTTCAGTCGACCGTGTGGGTTATGCGGAGCATTTTGTTTCGCTGTACACACGATGATTGCTCGAGAGCTATCCGCCGTATTCCGGATGCAACATGCGCCTCTGACGTAGTGAGATGAAAATGTTACTGTGCGTGTGGAAATGGGCCCATGTGTGAAGCTGGATGGGGACCTGAGGGGCCAAAGAATTCTGACGAGTTAGGGTACCCGCAGGCCCGCTGGCAGCTCAGGAACGATCAACCGTCATTGGTGTTTCACGAAGAGGACAGGCAACAAATTTATTGTCATTGGCAGATATGATGACGATTTTCACTTGGTGCGCGTCGTTTGTGGATCTACTGGCATCCACTTGGATCTGCTCGAGCATTGGCTGCTCCCCACCCTCGCCTCCACCACCCTTTGTCCCCCACCGCTTAGGGCTTTTTGCTAAGAGGGCTTGTCCGATTCTTATCCCTGCTAAGGCGGCAATATCAAGAGCTTTAATTCCTTACCCTGCTTCTTAAATCCCTTGGCGCTTGGCAGTCTATCCGTGAGGGGCCGCCATTGACGTATGAAGTTCCTGTTCTGGTTACTGTCGTGGGATGTTGTTGTCGGCTTGACGATTTGCTCGGGCACGGTGCGACAGGCAGAACTTGAACGTGGGATTTTGGTGTAGCAGTGCGGTACTACCAGAATTTTTTTTCGAAGCAAGGCAGAAGCTTATCGAGGTGGGCTTTTGCGCGAGGGCTCCGCATGGGACACGAGGGAGCATTGTACATATGAGTTACTAAGCTTATGCCATGCGATGTGCAACGAGATTGGTGCCTCTATTTCTACACAAGATGAGGGGGCATATTAGGAATTTTCTTACTGGTTGCCCATGTTTATGTTATTCGGATCAGCCGACATTGGCTATACGTTTTCAGTCGGCGTATCCGGTAGAACAATGGAGCAATATCAACTAAAGGTAAGGAGTTGGAATTCGCGGGTTCCGAAGATTGCGGCAGGCTGAGAAAAAAAAATCATTGGGTCGACTCCACGCAAGGAAAATCATCCATGCAAATCCAAGGATGGTGAACCAAAAAATTGGGGACGTGGAGACAAATCCATGTTTGAGTCTATGAGAAGCCAACAACCAAACCCACGGTGGATAATACCCATGCGGTCATCAGGCCTGGCGTCAAATCACCGATTACCATCCATCACTACTGTGATAGGCAAACGATACGCCCGCCTCAGTACCTTAACAGATGCCAACTTCGCTAAAGCAGTTGTGGTTACTCATGGAAATTGCTTTGTCGTCTTCTTATGAATAATCTGACTTTTTGACCAATGCAAGAATATTATTGGCGCCGTCTAACATCTTGCCTTGCAGGTTAACGCTAGGCGCGGTCGGGAAACCAATAAACGGGAACGGCTTCCCGAACGGCGTCCGAGGATCGCGTTTGAGCCGTCTTCTCGGCACGATGGTGAGAAGCTTTAGTAGACCGTGGATCCCGTTATTAGCGATGGGAATGTCGTGAAGCTATAGTCCGCGTTCGACTTTTGCTGATAAGAACGTAATATCGTGTAGATTGAAGGCTTGAATAGCACTGGATGTGAGATACAGTGGATGATCTCCTCAGGACATGCGTCCGTGATCAAGGGCAATACCCCATGGGAACGGAAAACCCCTCGCTCTACTTTCCCCAAGGGCTGGGGCGTGGAGATGAAAAAGGAAAATCAGGCCTGTGTCAGGATGCTCCATGTGACGTCCGCTATGCCCTACTCCCCATACGGAGTAATGATATCCCCCTACACACGGAATGGGACTTCTACGGAATTCTTCGATAAAGAGGCCGAGGAATGAGAGAACCGACCGAAGCACAAGGTGGACCCGAATACCTACGTCGGTGGAGGTAACAGCCGGCGACAAGCTGTGCATTCAGAGGCCTAAGAAGTTGAAGAAGCCATCGGGAACGGAAGAATGTGCCAATGATAGTGGACCGAGAGGTCTTCAGGGGACCCATAGTAGTGTGAATAATCTTTTCTTTTTCAAAAGTGGACTTTTTAGAATTTAGGCTTTATTTTTTTATTTTTATTTTTTCTCCTCTAAAGGCTGCCTTTTCCAGGGAATCCCATGAGTGATGTCACAGCTGTACTCCTCCATTGGGCCCACTGAGCTGTGGAGCCCCTTGCGAACCGCGCCAAAAAAATGCTTAAACCAGAGTTATTGATGCATTCGGTCCCCTGCTCCACAAAACAAACAATGGTACGGTTAACTATGAAAAATGGCAAGTTGGTGGAGTATCATTTTGGGGGAATAACAGATGGCTGCCCAGTAGGCATACCTGGTCGCCACAACTGCCTGTACCTGGAGAAATAGAAATAACCCCCCTCTCCCCCCGACTTCTCCGCGTTTGATCGCTTGTCTTTTACTTTCCTTGTCAATCATCCTAGGTTCGATCCTCAGGCAAAATAACGGAACGAAACCGCCGGGAAACGATCGCGACTGTTCCTTGATCTCCTTTTTCTGCGCCGGAGATTCGTATCGAGTTGTGCATATACCTCTTGTTGGCCTATTCCTCTCTTCAGACTACCTAGCCCAGCATGCGCCTACATTTGCTGGCTTGTCAGGCCGGCCACTGTCGTTGGCCGTGTCCACTGTCGCTACGATGGGTTTCTTACTGTTTGGATACGACCGTAAGTCATTATCACACCGTCCCTCCCATATATTTAGGAAAGTATGTAGAAGATGTGGGAAGGCTAATCGTTTGCAGAGGGTGTCATGTCTGGTATCATTAGTGACAAGGCGTTCAACAATGTTTTTACTGCCACCAAGGACGATGATACAATGCAAGCGTTGGTAACAGCTGTTTATGAATTGGGTTGTTTGGCAGGTGCTATTTTTGCCCTGATGTTTGGTGACCACACTGGTCGTCGGTGGATGATCTTCTCTGGCGCTATTGTCATGATTATTGGTGTCATCATCCAGGTTACCTCGTTTGTTGATCACATTCCTCTGCTTCAGTTTTTCATTGGTCGTGTTATCACAGGTATTGGGAACGGCATGAACACTTCCACCATTCCCACATACCAGGCCGAATGCTCCAAGACCAGTAACCGTGGTCTCCTGATTTGTATCGAGGGTGGTGTAATTGCTATTGGTACTGCAATTGCCTACTGGATTGACTTTGGAGCCCACTATGGCCCAGATGACTTGGTGTGGCGTTTCCCCATTGCTTTCCAGATCGTCTTCGGTGTTATCATTATTGTTGGAATGTTTTTCCTTCCCGACTCTCCTCGTTATTTGATCTCCAAGGACCGCATCCAGGAGGGCGAGTACGTGCTCGCTGCCCTTGGTGGTTTTGAGATTCATGACCAGGAGACTCAAATCCAGAAGAACCTGGTCATCGATTCGATCAGAGCGTATGTTTACTGCCTTGAAACCATTTACCCGATGTGACGGTGACTAACTTGAATAATAGTTCCGGTGCTGGAGCTACCACTCGCTACAGGGACCTTCTTACTGGCGGCCGTACTCAGCATCTGCGTCGTATGCTTATCGGTTCTTCTTCTCAAATCTTCCAACAGCTTTCAGGTTGCAATGCTGTGATCTACTACCTTCCCGTCCTTCTGAAGCAGTCCCTGCACCAGAGCAACGATGAAGCCCTTCTGATTGGTGGTATCAATATGATTGTTTATGCCATCTTTGCCACCTTCTCGTGGTTCTTTATCGAGAAGATCGGTCGTCGCAAGCTGTTCTTGGGTGGTTCTATTATCCAGACCATTGCTATGGTTATCACCTTTGCTTGTTTGATCCCTGATGACAAGCAGATATCTAAGGGTGCTGTGTTCGGTCTGTTCTTGTACATGGCTGCCTTTGGCGCTGCTTGGCTTCCTCTTCCCTGGTTGTACCCGGCTGAGCTGTCTCCTATCAAGACTCGTGCCAAGGCCAACGCTGTTTCCACCTGCAGCAACTGGCTCTTCAACTTTACCGTTGTCATGATTACTCCCGTCATGATTGCTCACATTGGCTGGGGTACTTA